GGTTTCAGAGACTGCATGAAGATTTCCTCCAAAAGAATGATCCCTACAGATGTCTGAAGGAAAACAAAGAAAAGTTTCTTGCTGATTTTAAAGACGTGTTCGATAATGTAGACCAGTGCCAGAAGAAGGCAGAAGAATTCACAGACCGATGCTTGAAGCCTGCAGTCGAAGACTTTGTGAACCGTTCCCTGGGTCCTGATATCATTGGTGAAATGAGGACAAGAGAGGAGTTCAGCACAAGAATGTCCTTCCAGTATTCACTTTTACTGGATCTGCTCTCAGAGGATGACTTTAAAAAGTATGAGAGCTTTATTTGTTCCTATGAGAAATATGTGAAGGAATGGATACTCAACAAAATAGTGCGACACTTCTCAGATGGGTCTACGATGTTTGAGGAACAACATCTCCAGTCATGTGTCAACAGCATAAATAATGCTATCCAGAAAGCTAAAACAGAAAAGAGTGGCAACTTAAAGTCATTTGTTGAAGTTGTCTGTCAGGAACTTGGTGACAAACTGGTCATTTCCCAGGATGCTCTTGGTGCATTCATGACCCTGAACGAGGCCGACCAGGAACAGTTTGCTCACAGGCTCACTGAGTGTGTGAAGGAGATGGCACAAACTCTTAGAGAGAAGTTTAAGAAAACAAACATCCAAACTAAACTACAGAGCCTTCATGTGAATCCTCAGAACAAGCTTTTCAACAAACTGATTGGATGTGGTGAACAGTGTCCGTTCTGCAAAGCGCCCTGTGAGGCAGGAGGAAGAGCCCACACTGAGCACTTCACTTCACTTCATCGCCCAGAGGGTCTGGGTCGATGCAGATGGAGTAATACACAAAAACTTTGCATTGACATATGCTCTTCCTCTGTGGACAGCGACAAAGGTTTTAGCTGCAGTGCTACAAAAGATAAATCGCACTCTTACAAGCGTTACAAAGAAAAGTATCCGGACTGGAAAATCCCACCAGATGCAAGCCTCCAGGCATCAGACTACTGGAAATATGTACTGGCAAAGTTCAACAAAGAGTTTGCAGCAGCATACAATGCAAAGCCTGCTGATATTCCTGCAGCTTGGAAACTTATCACACCTGAGCAAGCAGAGGCAAGCCTCAAAGAGTCATTTCATTCCAAATGAGAAACTACAAGCTTTGTGCTCACAGAGGGTCCCGTCCTCCTCATTACAGTCATCATCCTCTCATGGACATTTAGATTACACTTGATTTATATGAAGAAGCACACAAAGTAACATGCTGTTTATGAGATGGCAAGGTTGACCATATGTTCAACAACAATTTACAAGGAATTTGTAAACGTTTCAGTTTGATTAACATACTTTAATTACTTCTTTTTTTGGTTGTTATTGTAGTATCAATTAATCAAATTATTTCCTTAAAGTAACTGATGCAAACATTTTTGTTTTTATGTTTTTCTGTGCTTTTGTCATAAACACATTAACAATTTCAATGCTTTAAAATATCATTCAGTCTTCATGTCAACATCAAGATTATACAATGTCTTTATTTGTATTTCAAATAAGTATCTGATTCTTATTATTTACATTTGTATTGACACATTTAGAATTGTTGTCTTTTCATTTCTGAGCTGCATCAAAAGCCACACATTTAGATGTTTAAATCAGTGAATGAATCATTGTGTTTTAGTGGTGGTACAGTCAACATGTAAACATGACAGAAAGTCTGTTGTCATCAAGTTCAGTTTGACATGTGACCGTTTCCCAGAGAGTTAGAATCTATTCTTATTTTGTTTCATTTATATATTTACATATTCAATGTTTAACATATCATTCAATCTAAATGTCAACATGTAGATTACACATGAATGTTGTTCTTACCTTATTGAGTGCTATATGTCATTGCCTTACCAAAAACCTGAAAGTCTTTCTTTGTATTCCAATCAAGCATTTAGCTCCAAATATTTACATTTTGATGTTCATGTTATAATATTTACTCAAAATGTATTATGTTAGTTTTCATTTTCAAATGCCACATTTTTAACATTTTTAGATCAATTAAAGGATCATTTAGTTCATATTCAGCATGTCAACATGTAAACATGACAACAAGTTTGAATCAAGTTAAGGATGATATAAAGATGGTATTGTTTTTGTGAATATTTATTTTGTTGCATTTTTTATGTTTAAAAGATATTCCAGTCTAAAGGTCAACATGTAGGTTATCCTTCAGGTTGTTTTTATTACCTAATCCAGTATGACATTTAATTGTCTTTGTTCAAAATCTATAACCACTTTTCTTTCTGTCATTGAAGAATCTGATATCACATATTTACATGTATTACTCATTTAAAAGATCATTCAATATAAAAGTGCTATTGTCAACAAGTAACAGCATCATATATGATCTTTCTTTTACTCAGATCTTCTAATCTTTTGTTTCTGTGAAGTATCTGATTCTTTATATTTACGTAATAAAAAATACCATTCATTCTTTATACTGTTCATTTCTTTATAATGTTAACATGTATACTTACTACTGTTTACTATTTCAATAAAGAGACCAAATCTGCAGACTGGCTATGAATGTCTTTAATGTTTCCCAGATCAGAATCACAGCATACAGTGTATAATAACTTCTAAAGTAAACAGAAATATCATCACCTCATTTATTTATATAGTTTAAATATACTTTCTTTTAATAATCATCTTTTTTTTAATTCCAGGTGCAACAGGTGTGTGTGTGTGTGTGTGTGTGTGTGTGTGTGTGTGTGTGTGTGTGTGTGTGTGTGTGTGTGTGTGTGTGTGTGTGTGTGTGTGTCACTGTCTTTACCGTGGGCCACATGAAGTCATTTTGGTTTGCTTGGCTGACTGCAGTTTGCTGAGGCTAGGTGTGTCCACATACATCCAGTCTGATCCACGGCTAATCACAGGTTCAGACTCTGAAAGTGAGAGACATTCAGATTAACTTAAAGTTGAATTTAAACTGTTAACAAGAAACTAGAAGTTAAGAATGTTTTTAAGGATGTGTGTGCATGTTTTGCTTTCTAGTGTTTTTGTGTTGATTTGTCCCATAACTGTATATTTTGCTAATTAAAAACACAAGATTACATTTGGATAAAGAAAGTATAGATGGAAACACAACAAGGGGAAGTCGGTCCATGTCATTCATTATCTTCATCTTCAGGTCAGCGGAGTTGACAATAATGAATAAATGACTGACCTGTATTCCACCCTGAGCATTTTTTTAACAGTGTTAAAGATACATTCAGCCAGTTATATAATTTTTCAAGAAATCAATCACATGGTCTTACTGAAAACTGTCCTTTACCTATTCATTCTGAACATGGACTCCAGCAGACTACTGACATCTAGTGGACATGAATTGCAACAACACCTACTTTCAACTCAGGATTTCTCTTTCTTATTGTTAATTTTTAAACATAAAGAAATGTAACCTTAAACATTTCTTAATTGGACCTGACAATTAAAGACAATTGTTAATTTACTGTTAGCACTGTCATTATTTTAAAGTAAATAATTTAATTTAAAACTTAACCATAGCCTCAAGACATGCAAAGTGAATTAAGAAGAGCAAATATCTGCAATTGACAACAACTTAATATGTTTAACTACAGTTGTCCCAATTGAAGCTCCCGTCACAGTGTACTGACGGATTCTGCAGTCCATTGCTGCTGTCATCATCAAACATCTCCACACACAGACAACACAATCATATCTGTCTACTGATTTATCAGGAAAACTCACAAGGTTTATCCCAATATCCATCCTCAACTTGACCCGGAATTCGATTGTTGAAGGACGTCATGATTCTTTAAATGCGTGCGGAGGAGTCGAGGAGGGAGGAGGCTTCCAGAGGAGAGGGGCGCGAGGAAACACGAGTGCAGGCTATGCGGAAGCGTTATTGCTACATGCGCATCAAAGCTCCGCCCACAGATCCAGAGCCGTATGCATACTGTGGCATGTATAAATAGGCTTGTTTGAGACAAGCGAGACCTGTGCAGACCTGCGCAATTGCGATCAACGTCTTGCTAGTGCGTTGCATGATGGTTAGTCATTTTGTCCGACTTGCTCTGGAGGCTTGCCTACATGAGACGTTGAAATCTCGCGGGACAAAGACGCCCCCCGGAGACTTGAGAGCGAGGCGCGGCGATGCGGCGCAGTTTCTCTCCACGGGCTGCGGAAGCGAAATGCTTGATGGGAAACGACTCGCTGGTATCTCGAGCTGAGCGCTCATTGGTGGGTTTTACCCCGTGCTGGAGATGAAACTCTCCATTGGCTCGGCAAAAGTGTGTTGTTGTTTTGTGTCAGTTTTACGTCGCCACTTCCATTCACATTTTTCATCATTGTTCCACAATGTTTATCATCATTAAATTAATATCTATATATTTTATACTATACTTGCACTGCTTACCGTTGTCATACTTTATATATCTTAGCATATTCATACAACACACTGTTCATACTAGGCTAGGCTACTGTGTATATCTAGTGTATTTATACCCCTCACTGTTTTTTCATCATTCAATTCATTCTATATTTTATTCTGTAGATTGTGTACATTACTTTTCACTTTACTGCTTTATGCACTCCTGGTTAGAAGCTAAACTGCATTTCGTTGTCTCAGTACCTGTAATCTGTGCAATAACAATAAAGTTGAATCTAATCTTGAGCAGGAACAAATGTATTTACTTAGTACATATCTGACATTAACGATTAAACACATTTGTGCATTCTTTATAAATGCAAACCGAGTCAAGCCGACTCCGGAGGTGGCAGTATGCACCTTAAAGTTGTTTGCAATCCGCCAAAAAACCGAGAGAAGAAGAAGAAGAGGAAGAAGCCGACTCCGAGCTGTCCGACTTCAGGCGAGCTTTTTGAGACCTCCCCCGGCTGCGATCGGCTATTCTCGTCTACTTTCGAGGCGAGCCGCAGCTCGTCTCAAACAAGCCTCATGTTTGATATAATCAAAGTATTCGTCAATCATTTATTTTTTGCATATTTAACGTTTTAAAGATATTTCAGTCTAAATGTCAACATGTAGGTTATCCTTTAGTTTGATATGTAATTGTATTTGCTCAAATTCTGTAAAGGCTTTGTTTTTTTCTTCAACTAAGTGTAACACTTCTTATCTTGGGCTATATGCTATCTGACTAGAAAGATTCTGAGTTCTACTAGAGTGGATAGACAGGTAAGTAATTAGACCAGAGACCAGGTGGTTTGAATAGAACAGCCGGCAATTTACTGATGAAATAGACAAATAGACAAAACATTAAACATAGACAATGAATATTTTCTGCAGTATGATCAGAGGTAAGTATTTCACCTTTCCCTTGTTTTCTGATTTCTGTGACTTAGTAAATGGTATGGATAAATACATTTTAGTTTAGACCGGTCTACTAAGTATTATTTATAGGTTGTTCCTATTTTAATCTAGTTAACTATTTTTCTTTTCCCTTTTTACAGGTAAAATATATCTAATTCAATGAAAAAACACAATTGTACCATCAATGAAATCATATGACAAATGAAAACCTAGAGTACAATATATAGTGTCTCTTTCAATCCAGGTACAACATAAGTCCAGTTCCAACCTTATCATTTCTTCAGTTCTGATCAAATAAAATAAACTCCAATACTCCTACCACTCTGGCAGCGAGTTCACCTATTAGGCGCTTTCACACCGCAGTACTTTCCCCACAAAGATTCATCAGAACTTAGTTCATGAGAACTCTTTAGTTCTCATGAACTAAGTACAGATCGCGTTCACACCGGAATAAGTCCCTGGGGGAGGATTAGGCAAATAAAGCCGCTGACGTCACTTCTTCTTCTTCTGCTTTGGAAGCCGCAAACAACTTCACGGCGTATACTGCCACCCGAAGTCCCCGGCCGGAAGTCCCCGGAGTTGGGGACTGGCTTCAGTAGAAGCTGCTGGGACTACCAGCAGCTTCTACTGAAGCCTTCCGAGTAAATCGCCAGAACGCCGACACCTCCTCATCTCCACCGCTCCCATGTTTTCTTTTGTGTTGCCATAAGTTAGTCTCTCTGCGTTTGTGCGCTGGGCTAATGTTAATGCTAATAATGCTAATGCGAGGATAATAAAATGGCAGCTTCACAAAACTTTTTGGGAGTTTTATGGGGCGTGGTTTGCAACCCACCCAGCCAATCAGACATAGGAACCCTTTTCTCCCACGAAAGTACCTGGCTGCTCTCTAGCAGGGACGGAGGGGGTAAAAAGGTTCTCATGAACTAATTTTAGTTCCGGCTCTTTTTGGTGTGAACGCGACATTTCGGAACTATGTCGGAACTAAAGTGGGAAAAGTACTGCGGTGTGAACGCGCCTATTAGGCGCCTATTAGGCGCGTTCACACCAAGTACTTTTCCCACAATAGTTCATGAGAACTTTAGTTCATGAGAGCTCTTTTAGTTCTGATGAACTAAAGCAGATCGCGTTCACACCAAAATTAGTTCCTGGGGGTGGATTAGGCAAATGAACCGCTGACGTCACTTCTTCTTCTTCTGCTTTGGGTTTACTGGCAGGTCGCAAACAACTTCACGGCGAGTACAGTAGGTGGCGGTATGCACCTTAAAGTTGCAATCCGCCAAAAAAAACGAGAGAAAAAGAAGAAGAAAAACCTCCCGCGCCCACTTGCTGTAAATGAGGCGTCTGTTTACCTTCCGACCTCAGACATGAGCTTCGTCTGAGTTATTTAAGCAAACACAAATACAGATCGTCGACCAGTCAAATGCAATAGCAATGCTGATTCGGAAGCGAAGGCGGTTAAGAAGGATTGACAAAAGGATTGGGCGACGACATGCACGCACTACGCTCCGTGTGAAATGAATAAACTGTGCCAGGTGTGTCGTATGCACACTAAATAGGCTCAGCAGCTAACACACCTTTATTATATATCCTCCTGAGAGCAACTGCATCCGTCTGCCATGAACCCTACAGAAACCTACGTGTTAGTTTTGGCCCAAAGTGGCCTCCATTTGTGTCGTGTAAAATGGGGGAAATCAAAAGTTAGCAAATCCCCATGTCATGTTCATAAAAACATTTAGTTTTAGGTCAAATAATTATTACACTGCTCTGAAACTCACTACACTAACTCCTAAGATGTTCCCTTACTATAATTAATTAAAAATATTGAACTCACAACACTGGTAATAACAAACTTAACCATTTATCTTTCTATAAATAAATAGTGCTTGTGTTGGACACCATTTTGAAATACAATGAAATTATCTTTTTGAAAGCCACAATAAATAAAGCTTCGCCAGTTTATAACCGATGAAACATGATGGTATCAGAATAATCACTTACATGTGATGTGTAGTATGCTACACAGGTCACTGTAAAGATAAAGTGTCAGAGGAGAAATAAGCAAGCTTAGTTACATGAAATGTAATGAAAAATGTAAGATACAGGCTCTGTTTAATCGCCATGTAGGTTCTCTTTTATTCCACCCTCAAGACAATATCAATAACAGCATCACGCTGTCCCAGGTGTGTCGTACAGATGTAGCAGCTAATTTAGGACAGTTTGAAACGCGAGGGTCGTGGTCGGCCCGTGAAAGGCCCGTGATGAAGAGCCTGCCCCCCGTGATAAATAAATGTAATTATTGTGAAGCCAGCTGCAATGGATCATTGATCCACCAGGGGGTGCAGTGGGGTTCCACACTGGAGCTCATGTGAAATCAACTTTGATACAGTAAACTGGATGTACAGTATGTCTGGTACTACTGTATAGCGGATCTTTGTTAAGATCCATATGTCACGGATAGGATCATACTCTGTGCTAAATAAGAGACATGTAATCATTTACAAAACATCACCATGTTGTTATTTAACAAAATAATGTTGTTTAGTCGAAAAAAACGAACGAGAGGAAATGCAGCCGGCTCTCGATTTTTAATCCTAATTTAATCATCATCTTCACCACGATCATTTATGTTTATGTTCGCCGAATTGACATGAAATCACTGACAAATATGAATATTCTGTATATTAATATTCATTTATTTTATCAAAGCAAGGTTACATCTGTGAGTTGGATGTAGAAGTGTCAGAATCAATATAGATTTTTCTCAGTCAGAGTAAATTCAGATGGAACATAGTAAAAAAAGGTAAATTCTTACCTCCGCCTAAAGAAAAAACATTACTTATAGTGAAAACCACCCTTGAATGATGGGATGGTAGACTAAAAGCTTTAGAAATCCAAACTATAACATATAATAAGTACCCTGTATCAAGATCGAGGCAAAACAAGTTAAATTTGACCTTTTTAGAGAGGTTTAGCAAAAAAAGTTCCAGGCGGAATAAGCTTTCGGCACATTTGGGTACATCTGGTTCCATCAGTGCCATTTGACCTTTTTCAGGTACCAGACTATAAAAATGATGTATTACATTGAATTATCACCATAGGTATTCATTCCATCCAAAGAAAAAAAATTAAAAGAAAAAAAATTAATAAAAAATTAAAAAATTAACTTTTTTTTTTTTTAATTTGTGGAAGAAAAAAAAGACCCGCCGACGGGGGCTTTGGGGCTTAACAGGTTAATAACAGTGGCATATATATATAATCACAATAATACAAAATTAACTGTCCCAGGTGTAGGCAATTTGGGGTGAAGTGTCTTGCCCAGGGACACAACGACATGCTGACTGCAGTGGGGTTTGAACCTGTGCTCCCCTGATCCGAACACCAACGCACCAGACCACTGCACCACACGCCTCCCAACAAGTCATTGTACAGTTTATCAACGACGACAAGTATTTCTTTCTTTTTTTATTGAAGGCCTGTTGGATTTAATCAGCTCGCTTAGCACTGCCAGAAGCCCAGCCTGAAAGGTATTTTGTTGCTCCACCTGGCACCATGAGCAGCTGGTCGTCCGATTCCTGGGCCTTGTGTGAATGCAGCAGCCGTTCGTCGTGCATCTCCTTGGCACGCAGGTCCTCATTCTCCTTGCTGACCATGGCACGGCGGTCCATCGCCATGATGGTGTCAAGGAAATTGTCATCCCGTGCCTGCTTTCCTAAGGAGAAATAAGCAAGATACAAGATCAGTTTAATCACCTAGTAGGTTGTCAACAGAGACAACATTGGACATGGTGCAGGCAGGGACAGTGTACAAAATGCAGGTGTAAAGTAGAAGATAAGATAGGATCAAATAAATATCAAAGTGCCCTTATTTATTGTTTTGTGCTTAATGTATGCTTGAACTTTGTTTTATAGGGATAGTGGACATCAGTTAGATGCGTAGCCTTCTTTCAAGGCCAGAGTAGTAACAGTGTAAGTGGATTGACATCTAACATAACATGGCTGAGGACAATTATAACAATCAATAAAAAAAATAAAAATAAATTGAATTTCAATTACATTTTTGCTTAAATGTGCAAAATATTAGAACATCAGTCTTTGTGGCATGCAGGTAATCAACTGTTTAAGCTTTTACCATTAACATGTAGAATGAATGTTGCAAATAATGACATTATAGCAACTACAATGTATTGTTAGAGGTAGCGTTATGTCCAGCTAGCATGCTAATTGCTAACGTTATATTATCGTTTTATACCGGAGGGAAAAGCTAACTAGTTTCCAATCCAGAGAGAAACACCTCGCCTGAAACACACGATTAGTGGCATGAGTTAGTGAAGCAATTACAGAACATTGCACACTTATTCACAAGTCAAAACATGTTCATAGCGGGCACGGCTGAGAATAGCTAGCTAGCTAGATGTTGTTAGCCAGCTTGGACCTATGTTAGCCAGTTCTAGCATGGCTAGCTCGATCTACTGAGCAAATAAAAGTACATCTGAGACCAGTATTGTGCAGATTAAAACAGTGCAGTGCATGTATTTTAGTTTACCTTCGTCCCGACATGACTTTGCCAGGTCTGCTAACTTTGCTGAACCACGGAAACTGCATTCAGTAGAAGCTTCTGAATGCGGCGCTTCGCGTCCTCCGAGTAAATCGCCAGAAGCGCCGACACATCCTCATCACTCCACCGCTCTGATGATTTATTTAGTGTTGCCATAATAACTG